GGTGTCCTGGTCATGAAGTAAGAGTAGGAGCATGGGGACAGCCCTGCCTGTGCTCCTGAGGAGACAGGAGAGGCTTCAACAGGCCCTTCCCCACCCGTGGCACTCTGTGTCACCACCCTGTGGGTCTCCATCCTCACGGGGTGCAGACCTTCATCAGCAAAGGGGTGACACACCAGTGACACCACTCTCCATCTCCAGCACACCCACTGGGAACAGCCTCAGCGCCGCTGAGCTCACCTGTGGGATGATCCTGTGCTTGGCCAGGTGAGCATGAGCAAGGACAGGAGGATGATGTCTGCCCCACAGCCACCCCAACCCCGTGCTGACTGTAGCCTCCCCTTTCAGGCAGATCCCTCAGGCAGCTGCCTCCATGAAAGAGGGCAAGTGGGACCGCAAGAAGGTAGGAGGTGCAGCACCCCGGGCAGGACAAGGCAGTGGGTGCCCACGTGGGGTGCACTCACTCATTCTTTCTGCCTCGCACCCTAGTATATGGGCATGGAGCTGAATGGGAAGACACTGGCCGTGCTGGGGCTGGGGCGCATTGGCAGGGAGGTGGCCACCCGCATGCAGGCTTTTGGCATGAAGGTAAGTGGCCAGGGCAGGGAGGAGTGATGGGGAACAGGGCCCCCCTTAGCCTGGTCACGAGCACCATGCCAGACTGCAGGAGTGAGCACCTGCTCTGCCTCAGACCATAGGCTACGACCCCATCATTGCCCCCGAAGTCTCGGCTGCCTTCGGCGTGGAGCAGCTGCCGCTGGAGCAGATCTGGCCCCGCTGCGACTTCATCACGGTGCACACACCGCTGCTGCCCTCCCTGCGGGCACTGCAGTCGGGGCAGTGCGGCGGAGCTGCCCTCGATGTCTTCACGCAGGTGAGCAGGTCAGCAGTGACCTCCTGAGCTGGGCTTCATCACAGCGGCACCTTAACTCTGCCCAAGCCCGGCTAGGACAACCTGGCAAACCTCAAACAGTCCTCCCCAGCTCCTCTCCTTGCAAAGGAAGAGAGTGTAAATGCCCACCACCTCGGGCTCCCAGGTGGGTGCTGGGGGCTGATGGTGGGTTTGGGCTGTGTTGGCAGGAGCCCCCAAAGGATCGTGACCTGGTCAACCACCCCAATGTCATCTGCTGCCCACACCTGGGTGCCAGCACGCGGGAGGCGCAGAGCCGCTGCGGCAAGGAGATCGCCATGCAGATCGTGGACATGGCCACTGGGAAGGGGCTGGCTGGGGGGGGGGGTCCCCCCCACTGGGCACCTGGCTTCTATGCCTCAGTTTCCCTGTCTGTAAAACGTGGGTGCAACCCTTTGCGCTCGCGGATGTGTTCCCATCGCTCTCCCCCCCACTGGGCACCTGGCTTCTATGCCTCAGTTTCCCTGTCTGTAAAACGTGGGTGCAACCCTTTGCGCTCGCGGATGTGTTCCCATCGCTCACCCTGCTCTTCCTGGCAGGTCAACGGGCAGGCGCTCAGCAAGGCTTTTGCACCCCAGACCAAGCCCTGGATAGTCCTGGCCAGGGCCCTGGGCACAGTGCTGCGCATGGTGGGCAAGCAAGTGCAGGGCAGTGTGCAGGTCTGCACCCTAGGTGAGCTGTGTGGGCTGCACCCCATGCCTGGGTGCTGGGACCCCGATAGGGGCTGGGCAAATGGATGTATGGGAGGGTGGGAGGATGGTGGTGTGAGAGGATGGGAGGAGGATGGGTGTGTGGGGGTATGGATGGGTATATGGACAAGTGCATGGATGGGAGAGAGGATGGGAGTAGGGATAGGTCAGTGGAAGAACCGGCCCCAGGCTGGCTGCTCCAGGATGGGGTTCACTGCTGCCAGCCCATCCAGCCCCTGCGTCCTCCCTGCACCCCAGGATCCCCACTGCAAGAGGCTGGGAGCTACCTGACTCCTGCTGTGGCTGCGGGCATGCTGACTGGAGGGACACAGAAGGAAGTGACCCTAGTGAATGCTCAGCTACTGGCCCAGGAAGCTGGGCTGAAGGTGCGTGGATACCTAGGGCTCCATCCATCAGCCTGGTGCCCCCAGACTCCGTTTGGCCCAGCCAAGCAGCATGAGCCCGGGGGTCACCTGTGGGGCTGCTAACACACCTCTCAGGCTGAGGGAACATCCCCTGGGGTGGCCTCTGAGGACACCCCTTCCCAACACGCTGCTGCATGCAGGACCTGAGTGCTGAGCGGCCACATCTCTCCGGCAGGTCACAACCACCCATGGTGACATGGCCCCCGAGCCCGACAGCAGTGCTGGCTTGCTGCAGGTGGCCCTGCAGGGCACCTCACACCGGGCAACGGGGACGGTGCAGGGCAGCACCCCAGTGCTGAGGGAGATCAATGGGGCCACCTTCAAGCAGCCAGCCCCGTTGACTGGCCCTGTCCTCATCTACAGAGCCAAAGCCTCTGAGCCCAACACACTGCCTGTGCTTGCCGGTGAGCTCCCTGCCTCACCCCTGAGCTGGGGGGGGTGGCAGCCTGGGGAGGGCCTGCATCCCTGCTCTGGCAGGGAGGGAGCAGGTGTTGCGTGGAGAGACAGGGATGGGGGAGCTTGGGCAGAGGGTTGTGGACTTGGAGCAAAGGACTTGGGGGATTGGAGTAAAGGACGTGGGGTGTGGGGAAAACACGGCATCACGGACCTTTGAGGGGTGTTGGGGTGGGCAGAGCCCTGCTACTTGCCAAGTGCTGGGGCATCCTGCAGCCTCTAACCCTTTTCCTCCTCTCCAGGGATGCTGGGGAAGGTGGGGGTCCAGCTCCAGTCCTACCACAGCTCCAGCACAGTGGCAGGAGAGCAGTGGCGCGTCGTGGGGCTTTCATCCCCCCTGTCTGACCTCAGCGAGCTGAAGTCTCGTGTCACGGAGGCCTTCCAGCTCAACCTGTAAACCCTGAACACCAGCAAGGACTCTCCCCATGGCCACAGCACCTAGACCCCCTTCCCAGCTTGGGGAGCATCACATTCGGCTGCCCCACACCTCCATGCAGGGCTTGGGGTGGTCCTGTTCTCAATAAAGGGTCCAGGAGGGGAGAGTGTGTGATGCTTGTCTGTGTGGTCCTTGTACCCAAATCCAAAGCTCCTGCAGGCTCTGTCCTTCCCACCACCAGCCCTTCTTGGCCCTGCTGCTCAAGGGTACAAAGGTTTCCACAGCTGCTGTGGCCTCACTGAGGTCCCATCCGGTCACAGTCCCGTGCCAGGACACAGCCCAGAGAGCAGGCAGGACTCCAAGGGGGGCTAAGCCCTCCCATGAGCCCCTGCATCACCTGCCCCCCCCTGCCTGCTGGGAACTGGTCCCCTGGGCTTTCCCATGGGAATGCTTTATTTTATCAGCTTTGTGAGAAAAAGGCATCTCACCATCCCAGCCCTGGAAACCAAGACCAAGGAGCTGGGATTTGCTTGGCTCCCCAAAAATGTCAGGGCCCAGTCCCTTCCCAGGGAAGTGGGGGTACTGAGGCACTTGTCCAGTGGGCAGGTGGCCATGTTAGGTGCCTGTGGGATAAATCATTTAAGGGGCCATGATCCAGATGTGATCCAGCCACGTGGTGGTTGAGGGAAGGGCCCTGGGGTGGGACGGGACCACTCGAGACCAGGAGCCAGAGCCAGGCTGCTGCCCCCTCTCATCTGTGCCTTTATTCCCCTGTGCCACCCAGGGGTTAGCAGAAAACGCCGCTGCCTCCACCAGCTCCAGGGCCCCAAGTGCTGCTGGATGCCTCCCAGCCATCCAAGATGAGGTTTCCCGCAGAGGCCAGTCCCAGATTTGAGGGTAAACCAGTGAAGAGCATCCTCCTCCCTGGGGTTCACCATTTCAGTCCCTCCTAGATAGGCTTCCTGGCATATTCCCGGCGGTACTTGGCATCTACCCGTGTCAGGTACCAGGTGCCAGGGAAGAGATCCGCCTGGGAGCCATGGGGAGCATGGTTGGCTGCAGAGAGAGGACAGTGATGCTCAGGGGGGCTGTGGGGTCCTGGTAGGGGGGGCGGGGTGTCTCATCCCCTGGCCCCACTCACCCAGGTGATGGGTCTCCTCCCGCTGCTTCATGATCTCGGCAAAGTCCTTTGGGGCCACGCGCTTGCGGGCATCCAGGCGAGCCGGCAGGGCGGGCCGGGT